CCAGGACAGCTGACACAAACTGACCAAAGGGATATTCCATACCACATGACGTCTGCTCAGCAATATAAGCTGGGGAAAATAGGAAGAAGGGGGGGACATTTGTTTCACGTTTGTCATCTGGAGCAACCGCTACGCGTACCAGAGCCCTACTTCCCAGAACGTGGCTGGACATCGCCTGCTGATGGGAAGTAGAGAATAAGGTCTTTTGTTTTGCTTTTGCTTCTGCATGCAGCTTTTGCTTCATTAAACTGTCTTTATCTGACCCACGTGCCCGTTGTTATATTTTCTCTCCCCTGTCCAGCTGAGGGGGTGAGAGTGATAGAGCGGCTTTGGTGGGCACCTGGCATCTGGCCAGGGCCAAACCACCACACCCATATATAAGGGTAGCAATGGATAGTAGTCTGTGCTCTTGACAAGCTGTGGCACCCTCTCAGCAACATCTCAGACCTTAGCTCCCAGAAGGCAGCATACCTCTCATGACTCCCTGTCAGGCTGGCAGATGGGCACTTCAGTGACCCTCAACAGAGAGTCACCCACTAGAAGCACTCATCGCTTCCTTTTGTGGTATCCACTTTTGTGCGCTGCTGGTATCGTTTCTCTTTGCAGATCTTGCTGGTGGGTATCTACAACTATTACGGCTTCATATGTGCGTTTGGTTGTAATGCTGGAGGGCAGGGACTGAAGCAGAGCCCTGTTTTTGTGGGTCGTTTGGATCCAAGGGGCCTCATTCTCTGTGGTATCCACCACAGGAGTGTAGTTTTGAAACCACTTACCTGTTTCTGTCTTGGCCCCTCTAATACTGTGCAGCCTTTTAATGGTTTCCTGCAACTTGGCCGCCTGATGCCACAGCTCATGGACCTGTGCACACCTGACGCAGCAGGTACTTACCTTTTCTCCAGAAGGGTTGGGGCACTTGTTGCAATCTACCGTCTGTACTGAAGTCTCCTTCCTTACCAGTTCCGTCTGAGTGGAAGCGTCAGACGTCTCAGGGGCTTTCTCTGAAGCAACTGGTTTTAACTCTGAGCCAAGTGCCTACTGTTATGGCAGAGACTCTTGAGCCGGTCAGGTGACTGTGCCCTTACCGTGCGACCTGCGGCCCAGGCCCTGGCCGCTGCCCCACGCCCCGCTCGCTCACTCTGCTCACTGGGGCTCCTCAGGCCGCTTTGTGTAGGCACAGGGAGGGTTGCAGCTGCCCTGGCAATGTCCAGTCCTCATTTGCCTCTCCCAGGAGAGCTGCTGGCTCCCAGTGGGTCCCCCCGCTGCCCCAGCAGCTCCTCACTGCAGGAAAAGCCCCTGTGTGCCCAGATCTGCAGCTCCGCTGTGTGCCCCGCGGCGACTCACCTTGGCGACTGGCTGAGAATATGACATGAAAGTATGTAGTGCTGTGTGACAGGGTACTCTTGCAGAATGTAGTGTGAACGTGGTTATTGTGCTCCAAAGGCAGCTGGGACTTCTCCAGTCTGGATGTGACAGGGACATGCCTTCCAGCCCAGGCGTTGACATGATTGTCTCAACAAAGTCAGTAAATACGTAGCCAAAGAAGGAACCTGTGTGGAGTTCTGTGCCTAAACTCCTACACAAGTCACAAAATCTGTGTCTGTCTGCTGAGGTATGTCTGGTGATACAGCTGTCCTAACTTATTTCCATGAAATGTTCCTTGAACACACTTGAGCAACAGTGGAATTATGTTAGTGATCTCTCTTGAAATGGGCCAAGTGTGTAGCCAAGCACGCAAAATTTGTGAAGCTGGAGAGCAATTAAGAAGGGACCTTGGCTGATGGTCCAGATATCAGGCTTGACCAAAGACAAAATGGAGAATGGGAAATACTGGATTTTGCTCTGTGTTCTATCTAGGATCTACCTCTGCATTTTATTAAAAAAACCTGAGCAGCCAGACTACCATCCTGAATTGTGCAGGATTTGGACCAAAACCTTCTTGGAGTGAGAAATCTTTAGATTTGGCTTTTCTGACCATGCTCCAGTAAAACTTTAGGGCACAAAGAGTCTGTATTATCAAAATGTAAAAGCAAGCACTTCCTATTAAGGTTTTTTTAAGAGTCTTTATTCTTAAAATGCAGGGAATATTGGTAGAAGCATGATAGTATATAATTTGCTATAATCTGTTCTTCAGAGATGGAGTAATAAAAACTTCAGACATGAGAAATTTTGATTAAAATACAGGTAAGGTGTAGTGAGGAACAAGCAATAAAAGAAATCTGTTATCAATAAATTATTTTTAAGAATTATTATCAAGAATTAGAGTCCCATTTGAGCAAGGAGACCAAGAGCTAGTTCCGTATAAATTTCACATGCATAGATGCTTCTACATAAAGGACGGTTTTCAAAAACATCGCATGGGTCTATTACACTGCCCACCTTTTAGTGGGGATGTTAGTCTAATGGGGGTTCTGTAACCTGATGTAATAAAAACCGTGGATAAACACTGTAATTCCAGGATACAAATTATGTAGGAATGGTAAAGTAGATTGTGCTAGTTTAGACATGATTTTAAAAAAGCTTATTGTCAAATAAAGTAAATAACAATAAAGTTGCTGAACTTAATATCAGGTATTGCAGAAAGTGTCTGCACTGAAATCCTGTTCCTGCACAGAAAGAGTATACTGTTAGAGCAGTGCTACTAACTGCTTTATTCAGAAAGTGACAGAGATCTGCTAAGAAATACCAGAAACAGTGAGAAGTGAAGAAAACTTACTAAGTGAGCGACATCAGTCATGTCTATGGGAACTGGAGGAGTGTTACTTCAGGGCTTGGTGCAGAAACTAAGTTTGTAAACACCACAAATGACTGTTGCTTGGAGCAAGTAATCAGAGACCCCATAGGAAGAGAAAGAACTCTTGGTCCCTTTCCAAGCAGCCACTCAAAAAGCTGCTCTTCAATAGTGACACAAGTTCAAAAATGTGCTGTGCCAATGTATAAGTAAAAAAGGAACTGTACAAAATGAATAGGTTTCCAAAATTAAAAGGAGCAGTTGAAAGGGTACAAGCTTTCCAGGCACAAGGAGCTGCTTTGTAGGGAAAACTCAGAACAGTACATATGAAAGATGCCACCTGTAAGAAAACATCTTTTTGCAACTCCAAACACAATATTTTTAAGAAAGGCCAATACCATCTTTTTTTTTCTTTTTTAACCAAAGATGAGAAGGAAGCCTCATAAAAAGTCTATGGAGCTGACTAGTAATGGAGATATGAAAGAATACCTTTCGCTCAAGGAATCTAATGACACACTAAAAAAATGTAGTGCTTGCTTGCAGTGGAGTTCAACACAGGGGAAGCTGCTGAAGGGAGAGCTGGAGGAATTGTCTCAGATCTATGTTTAAAACAAATGATCCAAAAGAATAAGACTAGTATCTGAAACAGGGTCCCATAAATTCCAATTGAAATTGAAGTTGCAAAACTACTGTGGTGTGTGCTGAACTGCTTGCCTGCAGGAGACGTACAGGTAAACAATACCCTAAGGAGAGTCAAAATAGCTTTTTGACAGAGGGACATTATGTTTCTGATGGTTCGGTCAACATCATTATACTATTGTGTAAAAGATCCTTGATCTGCTCACTCCTGAATACTGTGTGTGCGACCCTCTATCTTACAAAAGCGTATTGTAAAAATGAAGAAGTATATTCTTAATGTTACAAAAAATAAGGCAGATAGATATCATAGAAATCAATAATATTGGGACTGTTTTGGCAAAGGTGAGATGAGAATGGATATTCTCTATTTTATTTCTGAAGCAAGAAGAAGGGGGGAACCCACCCGAACTATTTGCTATCAAAACGAAGCAAATAAACATAGTTTAATTGTGTAACTCACTACCACAAGAAGTTTTGAAAACCAAAAGGATAAATAAGATACAGAGTTGCACAAATTCGTGTAAGAAAGGTCCAGAAACTGCTATTAAAAAGTGATGTGCACATGGCTTTCAGTTCATTGGAACTTGGCAACTTATAGGTTAAAATAATCCATGGAAGTAGCATATTTAACTTCTTTCTTATTTTTCCTAAACATCTGCTACCAATCCTGTTAGGCACAGGAGAGTGGACTGGGCAGATCTTTGATCTAGCGTATTTTTATTTATAGATGACAAAATTTAATTGTTATTTTTTAACCAAAATAATTAAATAACAATTTGTTCAGTACTGTGATTGATACTGCTCTTTATCTTCCAAAAATATATTGGAAAATTGACAAAACAGACTCCCATGAAAATATCTAAAATACAAGTATAGTAGATAAATTGGCAGAGTAGACATTGTCTTTTACCTGTTTATTAAAAAAAATAAATTGGTAAAGCCAGATCCTAGCAGATGGTGTTAATTGTGTATACTCTACTTTAGCTGATGTAAAAGATTTTGCAAGAACACTGAGGGCTTGGGTTCTGGCACTGTCGTACTGAAAGATCTCTCTCCTAGTTGTGAGCAAGCCCTCTCTAGGGAGGAATAACTCCCTGTTCCACCTATGGGCATAACACACCACATATAGCCTCCATATGAACCACAGAGTGTGTTTTTTTGAATACTTGTTCCTTGTGATGGGTAGTG